TGAAACTCACCCTGATTCAACAATCGATGGGTATGTGGGAGCACAAGCATAAAAGGACTAAGCTTGTGACTCTCTATTAGCAACTCCAAGAGATACCTGTCAATGAAGAAAAAAAGAGAGTAAGAAAATCGGATATAAGTTTGACCTACTCACAAACATCTTCAAAACAGAAAATTACCCAGACCAGCTGAATTTACTGACATCTTAGCTATAGAAATTAAATTTTCTAATATGACACACATGTGTGTACATCAGCGTCAATGCAATCCATCCAATTCCATTCTATTTAAACTAGAAGAATTTAATGAGAATCTTAAAATTTTACTTAAAAGCCAAAAGGCATCCACAGCCAAGATTCAAAGAATAAGCTCAGAAATGGCAGAATTAGTTAACCGTAATATAAGATCCCATCTTATATTGCTTCATTTCTATAAAAAAAAAAAAAAAGAGTTAAAAACTATTTAAAACTCCCTGCAGATAACTACCTTTAACACAAGAAAAAAAAAAAGCTGCAAAACTTGCAAATCAAGACTTGAAATTTCAGCACTTGCACCCGTCAGTACAATCGCAACAAGAAGAGAGACACACCAAGACCAAAACCAAAACAAAAACCAAGTAAACGAAAATAAAAATTGGATCTTGCAATAGATCTACACTGATACAATCATAAACAAACGAAGTTGAACTGGTTGAGTAGTATCATACTACTAAGCACTGAAATCCTCTGTCGTTGACGGAGAGGAGAGAGCAAGTGGGGCTGTGGTCGGCTACAAGAAACCCTTTGTCGTTGACGAAGAGGAGAGAGCAAGCGAGGCCGCGGTCGGCTGCGAGAAACCCTCTGTCGTTGACGGAGATGAGAGAGCAAGCGGGGCTGGGGTCAGCTGCAAGAAACGCTTTGTCGTTGACGGAGAGGAGAGAGCAAGCGGGGCTCCAGGTAGCTGCGAGAAACCCTCTGTCATTGACGGAGTGGAGAGAGCAAGTGGGGCTGGCGTCAAATGGGTTTTTGAATTTTGGGTTTTTGAGTTCAAATGGGTTTGAATGAATTTTGGAGATTTGGGAGAAGGGCAGAAACATTTAGGTCTACTGGAGAGGGAAGCTTGGAAATTAACAAGGAGAATGGTGAATCTGTGGAGGGAAGTAAAAATGAAGCATGCTGAAATTAACAAGGAGAAAATAATGTGGTTAAGAAATAGGGAATTATACCGATAGAACAATAATTCGTCTGTATAAATACAATTATACAAATGGATAATAATTACACTTGGAATAGATATAGTCTTTACAGAGGATGAATGTTAAATCGTTTGTATAAATCAAGTCTATACAAACGGATATATTTTTTCATTGGTATAAATCGGTGTATACTGACTATTTAAGTTTTCTGTTGGTATACATGGTTTATACAAACAGATTTTTATTCGTTGGTATAGACTTCCGTTGGTATAGAGCATTTTGCTTGTAGTGTACCGAAACTACTAATTAGTTTCTACATAAGTATGTGGTGAGGAAAGGGCGATGCCAGTTTTGGTCCCTTAATTTTTTATACACTTTTTTAGTCTTTTAATTATAAAAATATATTTTTTTTAGTTTTTTTGTTGGTTAATTTGTTAAGTTTATCTATATTTACATATTTTTAATTTCTCAACTTTAAAATTTTACACAATTTTTATCTATCAATTAAAAATTTTAAAGATTAAAAATGTAAATATATATATACTTAAAAAATTAATTGACAGAAAGAAAAAAAAATGAATTTTTTATAATTAAGAGAGTAAAAAAGTATATAAAAAATTAAGGGATTAAAACTATACAAAAGTCCAAAATTGAGGGACCAAAATTCACATTTAACCATTTCGTTATTCGCGTGTTTTTTGGGCCATCAATAGAAGACTGAGCGGTGCTGAGCACCATGGGTATTAAAATGTAAAGTAGACTCATGAAGGGACTGGTGTCTCCTATGTTCTTTGAGGGCTTGAAAAGGTCAAGTTAACATGGGCCCAGGGCCTTAGGATCATGTAATGGGAGTAATAAAAAGGTTTATTTTATGTCATATTATTATAATTAATATTATTTTATACAAACTCCTCATTATATATTTAAACTTTAAACAAAACAGCTAATAGAACATGCACATTCTCTTTTATCCATAAAACTTCTTTAAAAGTCACAAATGCATTATTTTATTTAATTAACATTTTATAAATTCAAATAAAAAATTTTTAAATTTAAAGATATATAAGGAAAAGCCTTTGATCCAATGGCTTTAAAGGATTGTTGCAGCAAGTTGCACCAAGATGCAGCATTTTTTTAGCTTAAAACATAGAAACTGAGAACGAACTCGGTTTGAGAACTTCCTTCAAGTGGGATAGAGTTTTGTCTTTATTTTTTTTTTAAGAAAACAACAATTTAATATAAGGAGATATCTATTTATACATAAATTTTACACATTATATTTATATAAAATTTTGACCATTCATTTTTTCACTTTTAATAGTTGAAATTTATCATAACTTTTTAAATGAAAAAGATAATTATCTCTCTAATTAATAAATGTAAATTAATTTTTGTTAGGTTCTCTTTGTATTTTGATGATGATTAAAACCATGATTCAAAACCATGATTCAGAAGAGTTTAATATATTTTTGTACTAAATGTGCAGGAAAATTAATTCAAAGATTATAATCTTTCTCCACTATTAGAATTAATCCATGTCCTCCTTATTCAGAGTTTTGGGTTCGAATCAATTGGAATTGGTTCGAACCAATCCCAAAGTTCTTTTTCCTAAAACGGTTCAAACCAATATTTTTGCCTTTGAAGGAAAAATTCTGGAAGACAAAATTTTAACAGTTCAATTATCTGTTTTGTTTTAATGGCCTTAGAAGGATCCAGATGACTAAGCACATTCCAAGACAAGTCAAAGTCCGTTATAAGAAGAAGAAAAAGGTGGAAATCTGATTGGAGCTATTGTGAGGTGGCATTGAAAGGCAAAGTAGGCTTTAATTGCAAGAGCTCCCAATCAACTATTAAAACAACATCAAAAATCAGATCTGGAAAATAATATAGAATGGGCTTGAGTGAGTGTAATCCCAGCTAGCAATTTATAAGTTATTGTGCAGAATAAACAAGAGTAATATAGTGCAAAAAAATAAAAAGAAAGGGAAGAGAAAATCAAGCCGTGATTTATAGTGATTCCTCTAACCCGGAGTACGTCCACTCCCCAAGCCTCCTTGCTCGAGAGTCCAATCCACTAGAAATCTCTTGCTTACGGGTGCAAGATTAAACCGTAACAAACTCTTGCTTGCGGGTACAAGATTAAACCCTTACAAGTGAATCTCAACTCACTCAACCCCTTCAAGGATTAATCCAATCCAAGAAGAATACAAAACCCTTGTAAGACAATATACCCAAAAGCTTACAAGAAGAAAAGAAGAAGGAAAACCAGAATAATTTCAAGCCCAGTTTCTATAGCAGTTCGTCCTTCTTCTCTCTCTATCTAGATCTGATTTTTGGTGTATTAATAATTGGTTGGGAGCCTTGCCATTAATTGCCCATTTAGACCTTCAAAGCCACCTCACAATTGCCCCAATTAGGTTCCACCTCACTTTATTATTATTGACTTAACTTTGGAAAGTGCTTAGACAATGGTTCCCCCAAGGCTCATTGAGAATAAGAATAAACGGATAGATGAGCTGTCAAAATTTAACTTTCCAAAAATTTTGCTTCGAAGCCAGAAATATTGCTTCGAACCATTTTCGGAAAACAAAAGTCCGAGATTGATTCGAACCAAAATAAATTGGTTCGAACCCAGAACTCTGAACAAGGAGGAACATGAATTAATTCTAATCGTGGGGAAAGATTAGAAACCTTGGATTAATTTTCCTGCACACTTAACACAAAAATAGATTAAATACTTTTGAATCATGGTTTTAAACCATCATCAAAAACAAAGAGAACCTAACAGTGAGGAAAACAGAAAAACAAAGTTTGAAACACAAACTATTCTGGATCTTCTTCTTCTTTTTCTTGTGAGCTTTTGGGTTAATTGTCTTACAAGGGTTTTGTATTCTTCTTGGATTGAGATAATCCTTGAAGGGGTTGAGTGAGTTGTTGAGATTCACTTGTGATGGTTTAATCTTGAACCCGCAAGCAAGAGTTTTTTTCGGTTTAATCTTGCACTCGTAAGTAAGAGAATCCTAGTGGATTGAACTCTCGAGCAAGGAGACTTGGGGAGTGGACGTACTCCGGGTTGGAGGAACCACTATAAATCACGGCTTAATATTCTCTTCTCTCTCTTTTTTATTTTTTTGCACTTTATCATTCTTTGTTTATTTTGCACAACAGTTTATATGTTGAAAATTTGATTTAAGTTTTGAAACAAAAAGAGACAAGTTTTTAAATAAAAATTGATAGAACCCAATTCACTCCCCTCTTGGGTAGTTAGCTGCAATTATAATTTTAACTATTAAAAGTAAAAAGATGAATAGTTAAAATTTTATATAAGTACAATATGTAAATGTTATATATAAATAGATCCATGCTCATTTAATATAACACCATTATATTGGTCCAAAAAAAAAAAAAAAAAGAAGAAGAAATAGAACACCATTATAAACTGTCATGGCAATAAAAGGGCCTATCTTTCTTTTATTAGGATACAATTTGCACTTGTAAAAGAGCAAAACAACGTTTCATTCAGTAAGCCTTGATATATATACACTCAATGTGTGACTGATGCCCTAGTTAAGTAAAAGACGGAAAGTCCTAGCTAATTAATGAGTTACAATTATAAAATATTACAGAAATAAATTCCTTTCCTTTTCAACTTGGCCCGGACTCCTTTTCCTTTACCCGGACTCCTTTTCCTTTACATCTTTGGAATAGAAATTTCTTAGTTCGAAAATGAGAAAAAGGTAACTTCTTATGAATTTTTGAGTTCTTGATTAAAAGGATGCCTGGCAAATCTTGAAAAGCAATTTATTTAAAAGTAATTTTTTTTTTCACAAATTTAAAAATTTCTTATAGAGAAATTTAAAAATTAATTTTTAAAATGACTTTTAAGCAAATTTTGAAGAAACTACACAGCCAAACTTTTTCAAAATTCGTTTAAAAACTTTTTTAAAAGCTGATTTTTGAATTTTTTAACAACAAAGTTTTAAATTTGCAAGAAAAAAATTACTTTTAAACCAAGTGATTTTTAAGTTTTATATATGAAACACTCTTTAGATTACTTGCTTTTAATTAACCAATAAAAGCTAATTCATTAATTGTATATGTATTACCTAACCGCTATACTAATTTAAAGCCTTAGCTTAGTTCACTTTAAACCTTTTAAATTGTATTGCCGTATGCAGTTTTTTGTCCTGCATGCGTTTGGTATTTCTTATCTTGCCAGCTATACAAGTCTTCTTTTTTAGTAGTTTTGTCTCGCCTTTGTATATAACTTGTCTTTTGTGATGGAAGTGGGAGGGAACTGCTAGTGGCTATTTTGGCAACTTCACATTGTGCACCACCAATTTCTTTTTGAATGTTGGTGCTTAATTATATTGTGCAGGCAAATTCTTTTCTATTTTTCAAAAGTGTAGGATTGGAGCACCTAAAAAAACAACTTTGTAGTGAAAAATAATTAGTATACAGTTGATTTAATACATTTTTGGATGTTTGTGCTAATTTAATTATTAAAATATAATATAAATATAATTAATTTAATCAATTTTTACATACTATATATATGATTACATTTTTAAATTTATCCACTTTTA